AGCCTCCCAGCACTTTGGGAGTATGTCTCTTAATGAATATCTTTTTGTTACAATAATTTCTAAATTTTTTTTCATTTAGGGTGCAGACATAAATGGATTACCAACAAAAGGACCAACAGAGATCTCTGATAAAAAGAAAGACTAAAGCAATTTCCTAAAGGACCACATCACGTAAAAAATGGACCTGATAATATGAAGCATCTTCCTTGTAACTGTCTTTGACCTTTTTATCTGACACCAGACTTCAGGATAGAAGTCTAGACACTTACCGGATACTAATAAGGAAATACATAATATCTGTATTTAAAATGTAGTTAGTTATATTTAATGACCTTATTCTTAAGTTCCCTTTTCATTAATGTAGCTTTCATTTCTTTTGCTGTTGTTTTAATAATATGATGAAATACAAAGTTTGTGCCAGTAGACACTATGTTACTAAATCAGCACTTTAAAATCTTTGGTTCTCTATCATTCATTCATATGAATTTGACTGCTGTTTGCTGTAATTTGTTTGGGCTCTTCTAATTTGAGTGGAGTACAGTTTTATTATGAAACTGTGCAGTGAAACTGTGCAGGGAAATGAAGGTAGAATTTTGGGAGGTAGTAATGTTGTGAAACATAAAGATATAATAATTACTGTCCAACACAGTAGAGCAGCTTGTCCATAAATGTAGTAATTACTATTTATTGCTCTGAGGAAGATTAAAAAAAAAAAAGATAGGGAAAAGGGGGAAACTTCTTTGAAAAATGAAACATCTTTTACAGATGTATCTAATGTAATTATAAGATGTTAATCCTTACCACATTTCTTCCGTTCCTACAAATGTATTAAACATTCAGTTTAACTGGTAGTTCTTTTTCAAGTCTATTTAAATATTCAAAAGGGAAATATTCATCACATCAGCAGAATTCTGATGTTGTGATGGCATCTGTATAGTGGTGGGACAGCAGTTACTATTATTGCATAACAAGACACTCCAAATTTAGTGGCTTTCAGCAACACTCACTCAACTGGGCAGTTCTTTGCTGTTCTGGGCCTGGGTCTGGACCTAGGCCACTATATGACTTTTAGCTTGGGATTTTAATATTCAGCATAGGGACCTATAAATATTCAAAAATGATGAGATAGATTCTTATGTATTTTTTTATTCCCTCTGAAGTTGGGAAAGATTAAAGGGGACTCTTGCACCAATGAAGTCCTGGTCCTAATTCAGGCTCTATTAAGTTATACGTCTGGTCAAGTCACTGATTTACTTGGACTTCATTTGATATAAATCAGAAGGTCTCAGCTTTTCTGTCCAAAGCTACCTGAGGGAGAAGATAAATTCTCATTAGCAAATAAATTGTATTTTAAGATATAAACACTGTTATAAAAATAACATATTCATAGTAAAACAATGCAAGAGCACACTAACTGAAAAGCAAATGTTCTTTCTGAACTCTGGTTCCCTAATTCCAGCTCCAAAGATTTAACCAATTTTTTTGTTGTTTCTTTGATCTTGTTAGACAGCAAGTCTTGGTAATAGTGCTGCTCCTTGTGGAGCAAGGCTAGCTCATAGGCAGTGCGCCCAGAGTCTGCCCCAGTTGGTTTTGTGTGTAACCTTCTAGCAACTTTTTGAAAATTAATTTGTTCTTAAGCACACACATCTTTTTTGTTTTTACTTTTTTTTTTTTGAGACAGGGTCTCACTCTGTCACTCAAGCTGGAGTGCGGCAGTGTGATCATGGCTCCCTACAGTCCTGACCTCTAGTCCTGATCCTCTCACTTTAGCCTTCCAAGTAGCTGGGACTGCAGGTGGATGCCACCATCCCTAGCTAATGTGTTTGTATTTTTTTGTAGAGACAGTTTTGCCATGTCACCTGGGTTGGTCTCAAACTCCTGGGATCAAGTGATCCTCCACTTTGACCTCCAAAAGTGCTGGGATTATAGACGTGAGCCACTGCACCTGGCGTACACATTATCTTTTAAAAATTAAATAATATGGCCAGGCGCAGTTGCTCATGCCTGTAATCCCAGCACTTTGGGATGCTAAGGCGGGTGGATCATGAGGTCAGGAGATCAAGACTATCTGGCTAACATGCTGAAACCCCATCTCTAATAAAAATACAAAAAAATTAGCTGGGCATGGTGGCACATGTCTGTAATCCCAGCTACTCAGGAGGCTAAGGCAGGAGAATCACTTGAGCCCAGGAGGCAGAGATTGCAGTGAGCCAAGATTGTGGCACTGCACTCCAGCTTGGGTGACAGGGCAAGACTGTGTCTGAAAAACAAAACAAAAAACTCCTGGACACTTACACCCTCCCAAGCCTAAACTAGGAAGAAGACAAAACCCTGAATAGACCAATAACAAGGGCTGAAGTTGAGGCAGCAATTAATAGCTTACCAACCAAAGGAAGCCCAGGTCCAGATGGGTTCACAGCCGAATTCTACAAGACATACAAAGAGGAGCTGGTACCATTCCTTCTGAAACTATTCCAAACAATCCAAAAAGAGGGAACCCTTCCCAAATCATTTTATGACACCAACATCATCCTGATACCAAAACCCAGCAGAGACTCAACAATAAAAGAAAACTTCAGGCTGATATCCATGATGAACATAGATGCAAAAATCTTCAATAAAATACTGGCAAACCAATTGCAACAGCACATCAAAAAGCTTACCCATCACAATCAAGTAGGCTTCATCCCAGGGATGCAAGGCTCGTTCAACATACGCAAGTCTTTAAATGTAATCCACCACATAAACAGAACCAAAGACACAAACCACATGGTTATCTCAATTGATGCAGAGGCGGCCTTCGACAAAATTCAAAAGCGCTTTATGCTAAAAACTCTCAATAAACTAGGTATTGATGGAATGTATTTCCAAATAATAAAAGCTATACAAACCCAGAGCCAAAACTGGAAGCATTCCCTTTGAAACCTGGCACTAGACAAGGATGCCCTCTTTCACCATTCCTATTCAATATAGTACTGGAAGTTCTAGCCAGAGCAATCAGGCAAGAAAAAGAAATAAAGGGTATTCAGTTAGGAAAGGAGGAAGTCAAATTGTCTCTATTTGCAGATGACGTGATTGTAAATTTAGAAGACCCCATCATCTCAGCCGAAAATCCGAAGCAACTTCAGCAAAGTCTCAGGATACAAAATCAATGTAAAGAAGTCACAAGCATTCCTATATACCAATAACAGACTTAAAGAGAGCCAAATCAAGATCAAACTGCCATTCACAATTGCTACAAAGAGAATAAAATACCTAAGAATATAACTAACAAAGGACGTAAAGGACCTCTTCAAGGAGAACTACAAACCACTCCTCAAGGAAATAAGAGAGGATACAAACAGATGGAAAACGTCCCATGCTCATAGTTAGGAAGAATCAATATTGTGAAAATGGTCATACTGCCCAAAGTAATTTATAGATTCCATGCTGTCCCCATCAAGCTACCTATGACCCTCTTCACAGAACTGGAAAAAAACACCTTAAACTTCACATGGAACCAAACGAGAACCTGCATAGCCAAGACAATTCTAAGCAAAAAGAACAAAGCTGGAGACATCACACTACCTGACTTCAAACTATACTACAAAGCTACAGTAATCAAAACAGCATGGTACTGGTACCAAAACAGAGATGTAGACCAATGGAACAGAACAGAGGCCTCAGAGGCAATGCCACACGTCTACAACCATCTGATCTTTGACAAACCTCACAAAAACAAGCAATGGGGAAAGGATTCCCTGTTTAATAAATGGTGTTGGAAAAACTGGCTAACCATGTGCAGAAAGCAGAAACTGGACCCCTTCTGACACCTTACACTAAAATTAACTCCAGATGGATTAAAGACTTAAACATAAGACCTAAGACCATAAAAACCCTAGAAGAAAACCTAGGCAAAACCATTCAGGACATAAGCATAGGCAAGGAGTTCATGACTAAAACACCAAAAGCACTGGCAAGAAAAGCCAAAATAGAGAAACGGGATCTAATTAAACTCCAGAGCTTCTGTACAGCAAAAGAAACAATCATTAGAGTGAACCAGCAACCAACAGAAAGGGAAAAAAATTTTGCAATCTACCCATCTGACAAAGGGCTAATATCCAGAATCTACAAAGAACTAAAACAGATTTGCAAGAAAAAGACAACCCCGTTCAAAACTGGCTGGAGGACATGAACAGACACTTTTCAAAAGAAGACATTTATAACAAACATACGAAAAAATGCTCATCATCACTGGTCATTAGAGAAATGCAAATCAAAACCACATTGAGATACCATCTCACGCCAGTTAGAATGGTGATCATTAAAAAATCTGGAGACAACAGATGCTGGAGAGGATGTGGAAAAATAGAAATGCTTTTACACCATTGGTGGGAGTGTAAATTAGTTCAACCATTGTGGAAGACAATGTGGCGATTCCTCAAGGACCTAGAAATAGAAATTCCATTTGACCCAGCAATCCCATTACTGGGTATATATCCAAAGGATTATAAATCATTCTGTTATAAAGACACATGCATACTGTGTTCATTACAACACTGTTTACAATAGCAAAGACCTGGAACCAATCCAAATGCCCATCGATGATAGACTAGACAGGGAAAGTGTGGCACATATACAGCATGAAATACTATGCAGCCATAAAAACGATGAGTTCGTGTCCTTTGTAGGGACATGGATGGATCTGGAAACCATCATTCTCAGCAAACCGACACAAGAACAGAAAAACAAACACTGCATGTTCTCACTCATAGGCAGGTGTTGAACAGTGAGAACACATGGACACGGAGGGGAGCATCACACACTGGGGTCTGTTGGGGGGACAGGGGAGGGACAGCGGCGGGTAGGCAGATTGGGGAGGGATAACATGGGAAGAAATGCCAGATACAGGTGATGGGGGATGAAGGCAGCAAACCACATTGCCATGTATGTACCTATGCAACAATCCTACATGTTTTGCACATGTACCCCAGAGTCTAAAATGCAATTAAAAAAAAAAAAAATATATATATATATATATATATATAAATTAATATTGCAATGTTTCTAATTGTCCCTACTTCTTTGCTCCCAAAAGGTTTTACCTATTGAGCTGTGGGCTTTCTATATTTATCTCCACATTTATAAGTAATACATATAAACATTTTATTTTTTGAGACAGGGTCTCATTGTCACCCAGGCTGGCTGGAGTGCAGTGGCATGATCATAGCTCACTATAGCCTCCAACTCCTGGGCTCAGGTGATCCTCCCACCTCAGCCTCCTGAATTGCTAGGACTACATGAGAATCATTTGAACCCAGGAGGTGGAGGTTGCAGTGAGCTAATATCACACTACTGCCCTCCAGCCTGGGTGACAGAGCAAAACTCTGTCTCAAAAAAAAAAAAAAAGAAAGAAAAGAGAAAAAAGAAAACAGGATCCCAGCCTGGGCAACAAAGGGAGACCTCATCTCCACCAAAAATAAAAAAAATTTAGCCAGGCATGGTGATGTGTACCTGTGGTCCCAGCTACTCTGGAGGCTGATGTGGGAGGATTGCTTGAACCCAGGAGGTCAAAGGCTACAGTGAACTTTGATGAAGCCACTGCACTCTAGCCTAGTCAACAGAGCAAGACCCTATCTTAAAAAAGAAAAAAGGAATAATGGAGTTGAAATATGTAAATAACAAGTCTAGGATTTCAAGTTCATACTTTTAACTTACACTGTCTAAGGAGACATCACAGCTACTGATATATTAATTGTTAGTAATACCGTATCGGGAATAATTAGGCAGAAATGGAGAGGGTGAGTTTAGACTAATCAGTATTTGTGAACTTGTTTTAAAGTTTCTGGAGGCTGAGGTGAGAGGATCGCTT